TAAATTTTCTACTAAGAAAAATATATAGTCAACAATGATAAATTAGTAAATAATCAAGACAAAATTTCCTTCAAAAATAGTTTCCAAAACTATTTCCAAAACTAACTCAACAAACCTTTCTTTATGTTTTTGGTAAAAAATTGAATAAATATTCTCCAAATGATGTTTTATATGCGCCATTTTTTTTTGTCACTCTCTGTTGTTTGTACTTTTTTGAACTTCCTAAATTGATCCTTACTTTGCTGAATGGTCAACATTATATCTTGCCTGTCCTCTTCATTGTGAACAAAATTAAAAATCTCTGACACAAGTATAATTGCCCATTCAAAGCAGTTATTGGCTACATATATTCAGCAAACAAATTCACTGAAAGTTTTAAATTATTTAATAAGACCTTAAAAAGATGAAAGACAGTTAAGCCAAGGTTTATCATCATCTTTACTCAAATTTAACAGACTGAAAATAAACCATGAGTTCCTACCAATCAACTGTGACCGACCACAAGTTCCTACCAACCTAATGTTTGTGCTGGACTATTTTCTTTTGTTAGTTGCAGTTGTGTCAAAGCGCAGATCCTTTATATAAGTTCTTAGCTTATATTTATCCAAAATGTTTACTAAAGTACAATGATGAGATTGTTCAGTACCGTGTTCCATTGGTGGAATGCCAAAAAGCATTCCGACAATATGCTAAATCCTTTGAACCAAGTGTCATTTTACATCATTTTGTTATTTGATCTTTTAAAAATTAAAGATGTTTTTAGCTAATTCTGCTGAATTGTCTTTTTTATTATTATTATTTTTTTCAGCGTTGCCCATATTTGAACTAATAGTTTAATAAAACACATAATATTTATTGAATTTTTTTCTAATCCTTTAAAACTTTTTAATGTAGCCTCATATCAGAGGCAGAGTGAAAAGAGCCAAGTTAACAAATTAATGTAAGCAAAATTAAAATTCGGTAAAAATAAAAAAACTATAACTATATATTATTTTGCAAACTTGATGTGATTGTCATGAAATATACCGTTCTCATATCCTCTATCAATCCATGGTTTCTTTATAGCAAAAAGAATGCAGTTCTAAGGACATATTGCTAAAAATGTCTTTGAAAGTGATTTCGTAATTTTTAGTAGCATTTTTACTTATTTTTTAAATCTTCTTTTTA